GCTCTTCTCAGCTGCAGCAGCAGCTGAAGTTCACGACGTCCGACTCCTGCGACCGGATCAAGGATGAGTTCCAGCTCCTGCAGGCGCAGTATCACAGGTAAGGCAGCCGAGGCCGGCCTGGCGGGCACTGCGGTCGGGTGGTGTTCGCGACAGGGTCTGCCAGGCCTAGTCGTGTGTCCCCCCCCCCGGGTTGCTGGCTGCATGTTGCCTCGGGGAGGGCCCTCCTCTCTTCTTGCCATGACTGGCGTTTGCAGACGCTGCGGGAAGGCGCTTGGGTTAGGGAGCCAGCGGCCTGGCTCTCCGGGGCTAGCTTTAGCGTCGGAGCAGGGCTCAGGGTGCCCCCCTTGGAGGTGTTGCCGTGCAAAGAGTGTCAGGTAGAGAAACTGTTGGACAGACTCGGCAGGAATAAAAGCAGGATCCCTGCAATGTCTCCCCGCTTGGCTCTGCCTGCGGTCTCCGGGGTATTGATCCCGTCGGTAGGGACGGTTCTGCACACACAGGTAATCCCTGAGCAAGAGAGCGGGCAACATGCGCTGCCCCCCCTAGCTTGCATTCGAGGGCCTGAGAGCAGGGATTGGCAGGGCTCAAGAGATTCCCCAGCTGGAATGAGAAGCAATGAGCCCAGGTTAAAAGATATCCCAGGTGACCCTGTAGCTAACTGGAGATGAAAGCATTAAATCTCCCCTTCGCTGGGCCAGGACGGGGAGATTAGACCAGCCCCTTGTGAATCTCTGCTTAGTTTCACATGCCTTTCTCAGGGCTGCAGTGTTTCGGCTGCAGATGCTGGGAGGAAATGCTCCTCTCCAAACCCTTCCAGAGCCATCACTCTCTGCTTCTTTTTTTGGGGTATTGAAATCTAAAACGCCGGGCTTCGATCTGCCAGGCGAGAGTCCCCTTAATTATTAGGCCCGGCTTATTTCGTGCCCTCTGATACGACCTCCCATAGCTGCCCATCCGTCACCGACGTTCCCCGGGTCATCCGCGTCTCGGCCTGCTTCCTGCTGGATGCCAGGAGCGCGGGATCCTGCCCGCAGGGCCCAGTGGCTGAGGTGTGTGGCGGCCCGAGGTCGCTCATCGGGAAGGGCCGACTTTCCAGCGGGCCTCTGCTCTGAAGCCGTGCCAGCTGCGGGGCCCGGGAGCGCTAGCAACATATCCGCAGTCACCGTCTTTCAGTGGGAGACGTTTGCTGGGTTTAATCCGCTGGAAGAGAAACGGGCTCTGTGCGAGCAAAGCTGGTTCTCGCTGGAAATCCAACCCCCCCGGCACATGATGGCTGAGCTCCCGACTGCCAAAAATCACCTGGTTTATTACATTTAAATAGAGAAAAGTAGCATCTTCTGTTCTCTTTTTTTATTTTTAAGGATGTTTGAGTTTCTGTTGCTTTCCCACAGAGCACCACAAAACCTGTTGGGAGAGGTGGCCTTGCAGCTGTGCCGTAGTCCTCGTTACGTGTCTGACTTATTAAGAGCACAAGCATTTCTCAAATGTTGCAGTCGGACCCGTGTCACGGCCCTGTGACCCCTGACTCTACTTGGGTCCCAGCTGTGGGATCAGACCCAAGCCTTTCTCATAGACAAGAGGTCAAACTCTTCCTCCTTCCTGCCTTTTCTGTTCCAGAAGATGGAAGATTGGCTCTTGGGTAGCTTTTTGGAAGACCTCGTGGCTGGGTGGTCTGGTGTCATTAGCATCGTCTTAATTCTTCTATCTAGGAGCATCGGTTATGGACCGCGGGGCTAGGTGCTGTACAAAAAAGCCCCAAATTGTTTAGTCTTGCAATAGTATCTAGGGGTCAAGCTGTCGTGCTAGGTGCTGTACGAGCCCGCAGGAAACGGCTGGCGACGAGGGGAGTTGGTAGCAGGCCTGGCTCTCGGTGCTCCCGTCTCTCTCTGCTCTTTCAGCTTGAAGCTGGAATGCGATAAGCTGGCCAGCGAGAAATCGGAGATGCAGCGTCACTACGTCATGGTAAGGCCCTGCCCCAGTGGTGGGGGGCAACGGCGGGCCCCGTGCGATGGGATGTGGGGCAGGCTGGCGAAGCAGGATGCTGGCACCTGGGTACATCTGATGGAAGGTGTCCTTCCCTTCCCACCTCCTCCCCTGCGCCCAGCGGAAGCAAGACCTGTGTCGGGTTTCTTTGAAACGGGGCTTTCCAACTTCGCAGGTTGCAAACAGAGGTCATTTCTTCTCCCTCTTCCCCATGCTGTGTCACTGGTTAGGGAGCGAGAGCTGCACTGTGTCTCTTGGCAGGATCAGGACTCTCTGGATAGGGGATCCAGTGCTGACTGGCCCAGCAGAGAGGAGGTGGCTGGGGGGAACTTACTCTGAATTATGAGTACGGGCCCAACTGGGAAGACGGAGCTGCTGTGGGGCCCAAGTGAGCCCGCGGGGCACAGGTTTGCTGCAGGAGCTGCCAATGCCGCTTGGCATCGCAGCCAATGATGGTTACAACATGGGCAAGGAGGGTTTTTTGAGACCCAAGGGTACCAGCAGTGGGTGATGTCAGGCCTGGTGGCATCCCCAGACCACCCGGGGCTGGCATAGGGGTCCTGGCTGTAGGGGTGTCTGCAGGAGACCCAGGGCAGTGTAGTGGTGTGAGCTCAGATAGGCAACCTTGGTGTGATTCCTGGCTGTGCTAGTGATTCACCGTGCGACCTGGATCTTTGTGTTGGGGTGGGGGGGTAGGGGAATAGGACCGTGCCTGTGTAACCGATACAGAGCTCTGAGGCTTTAGCTCGGCGGGTTGGTAGAGTCCAGTGAGATCCTTGGAGATGGTGCTATCATAGGGGAAGCAGTGCCTGGGTTTTCACCAGGGACCACGGGTGCAAATCGAGTGAGCATCTCGGCAGATCAGCCTGCTAGGTGCACGTGTGCCAGGTGAGTGCCTTTGGGTCGTGCTAAGGGGGCTCTGGCATCGGGAGCATCTGTGCAGGCTCCTGACCTGGGCACGGGGGGGGGGGTTCCCCTCGAATGCCCACCACTGCGCCATCCAGAGCCACCGGCTGGCATGCTCCTAGCGAAGAGTTAACAGGGAGGCTTCATGCATAGAGGTGAGCAGGAGCCAGGCAGCAGCTCCAGCACCTGCCCTGGGCCGAGGAGATAAGAGGTGGGAATTAATTCAGAGCCTCTGCTGGGAAGAATGATGAATTTCAAGGCAGAAATGAAAGGGGCAGACCCCTCCCCCATCCATCGGGCAGCCCTTCCCCCACCTCGGCTGAAATCCCAGGCAGCAACGGCTGCTACCTGGGTAAGGAGGGGGAGGCCGATCGCACAGAGACAGAGCCGGGGCTTGCAAGGCGGGTCTAGCATGAGCTGGGGAGATGCAGTGATGGAAGGCAGCGTGAGCCTGGGTGGGGACAAAACCACCCAGCCGCTGCCCTTGTCCTTGCCGACAGGGTGGGGGAAGGCATGACCCCCGGACCCCTGAGCCGGGTCCCATGCAGCACAGTCTGGGCCGTGTTTCTCTCCCCAACCTTGGAGGGGCTCATGAAGGCTGAGCTCGGTGTGCGAGGTGGGGCTTTCCCTAAAGGGCCCGGCGCTGGGGTGCCCCAGTCTCCCCTTCCACCGGTGCCCCGTGGGGGAACTGGAGGGAGTGGCATCCATATTCTGGTAGGACCAAAGAGCCTCTGTTGCAGACCCCGGCCAGTTGTGCTAGGCGCTGCATGCGCCCATGCCAGCGGGTCAGTCCCTGCCCTGCAGCCGCCAGGCTATGTAGCTAGTAGTCTTTAAGCCTGTCACATGGAGCCCTGTCCTCGCTGTCCAGCAGGAAGCGAATAGCTGGGTTTCTCTTCTGATGCTGCTAATGGCTGTATCTGTCAGGCCTCTGAATAAGCACCAATTAGCGTGGGGAGGGGAAGGGGGGGTGGGCTGCTGTGCTGCTTAGTGTAAAAATGCAGGAGACCCTTGCAAGCGAATGCGAGTTGTGATGTGATGTGCACAGACCAAGCGGCACAGGCTGCGGTTTGCTCTCGCGTGGGTCCACCTGGATGTCAGCTAAATTCCAGCCCCAGGGCTCGGGAAGAGGCACTTAAACCCTTGAGCCTCCAGGCATTCCCCCAGCCGGTGCTGGGAGCGGGGCAGCTTCCCTTCCCGAGGGGTGTCCTGTAACCGCCCCCGGTGCAGCCAAAGCCAAGGGTAGGCAGCGGGGAGATTCTTCCCTTGGCCACAGGCCTGGTCCAATGCTCTCGGGACTCCGAATTACTGTCTCTGTCTCTCTCTCCCTCCCACCAGTACTACGAGATGTCCTACGGGCTCAACATCGAGATGCACAAACAGGTGAGTCCACAGCGGGGTGGGAGGAACCAGGCAGTTCCCGCATTGTTCCCCACTGCCCCTCCCCGCACTTCATGGCTGCCTTGGGGAAGCATCGCGGCCTCCGATGGCTCCCTCGACAGCCATAAAGCGAGTTTCCTTCACGCTCACTTTATTTCCCCCGAGCGGATCCATGCTTCCAATCCCTGCCGCTCTGCCTGCAGCAGTGTGGGTGGGCTGGGGCAGAGGGCACCCCATCCTTGGGAAACCCAGCCCCGCTCTGCTGCCTTCTGGGCCTGTGAGGACTTGCCAGCCCCGCTCGGCAGGGCATCGCAACCTTGATTCTCCCTCCATGTCTCATTCTGGGCTCTTCCCACCCTGCTGCCGCCCAGACTCTGAGTCCTGTTTGCAAGCGGGTGGGGATGTTCCTTGTTGCAACCTCTGCTCCCTGTCTCCTGACCCTCTCCCCTTCCTCTCTCGCCTCCAGGCTGAAATCGTCAAGCGGTTAAATGGGATTTGTGCTCAAGTCCTGCCCTACCTTTCCCAAGAGGTAAGTGCACCCCCTGCCTCTTCCCTTCCTGGGGTGGGGGCACTGCAGCTAAAAGGGGCCCAATCCCACATGGGCCCATGGCCTTTCTGCTCCCATCTGACTCCTGTGGGGCTAATCAGACTCCCAGGGCCAGATCTGTAGCACCCTCAGGGAAAGACTCGCCAGGCATGGGGACTCCAGGGTCCCCCATCTCTGTACCCCGGCAGGGGCTGAGCCCTGCAGCCTTGGCCCCAGCCCATGCTGAGTTTGCAGACAAAGCTCTGCTGTGTTCTTCAGCCTCGTGCCATGTCAGTGAGGATGGGCTGGCGAGTGATTGGGGGGGGGTGGCATCACACAACTCGTGCTCCAGCTACTGAATATCTTGGGACCTTCACTTCGTTAATGAATATCCT